GTTTGGCATACTCCTCCTAGCTTCTTGCAGCAATGCCTGCAGCATGATTGTAATGCTACTCCTTAATTAATGAAGCTTTTGTTCCAAAAAAAAGAAAGAATTTAAGAGACAACACAGGAGAGGCAGACTAAAATATCCTAATCTCTTCTAAAGTGCCCAATGATTTTAAGACACAATTAACTTATTTATGAAAACAACCGATAAGACCTATTTTCTAAAATCAATCAACAGAGGTGTGTCTCTTAATAAGAGGGCCGCCTCTGTAAAAAAAAGCCCGACCCATTGGACACCCCTAAAGCCACACGTCACTTCCCCTTTAGTCCTCACATCTCTCTCTCTCTCTCTCTCTCTCTCTCTCTCTCTCTCTCTCTCTCTCTCTCTCTCTCTCCGGCATGCCCCCCTAGCTCAACCCTTAGGCAACGATGGCATGGCCCCTAGTTCTCAAGCGATTGCGCGCGGCCTGCTAGGACCTACGAGATGAAGACGACAATAGATCCATCTCCCTTGCCTTGGTTGACGACCATGCGGAGGTCACGATCGACTCAACTAGGGCCGCACATATCTAGATCAGAGGCGGTGGATACCATCCCTGCAAGGCCACACGGAGGTGGCGGCTGGCCAACGAGGACTGCGTGATCTAGACGGCAATGGCCTTACTAGCGAGATCGATGCGCGTGGAGGTTGCAGACACTGAGATCTCACTCTATCCTTTCTCCCCCTCTAACCCTCTCTTAGACTCGGTGAGATCTGGCTTCAACTTCGTTGTCCTCACCTCTTCCTCTCTCTATGCATGGTGACAGCAAGGTCAACGGCTAGGCGATGGTCGTGTGCCTGAGAGTGGGCTTCGTGACAGGGCATTCTAGGAGCGGACTCAACGATGGTGGTGTGTATGGAAGCACGTTTGGCGATGGTGGGGGCCAAGGAATGGGCTCACTGTCAGCCTTTTAGTTGTATTTTAATCTATTTATAGAGTCAGGCATTATAACCGCATCAGGGAACACTGATTAGAGCAAGGTCAATAATAGAGCCAAATATTTGGCTATAAGTCAAGTTATAAGAGCCAAGTTATACAACAGTTATCTTGTGTTTGTGTACAAAAGAGTTTTTTTTTATTATATGGTATCATGTCTTGCATTCTCTTTTCTATTCATCCTCACATACACTTCTATCTAGGCCCACCAATGTCTATGCTTCTGTGCCCAACTTAGTGCTTGCATGTTAGCCAAGTTCTCTTCACTCTCCTTCCTCCTATTTTCCACATCAGCAAAAATATTAATTAGCTTGGCTATAAGCCAACTGTTGTAGTTGCTCTTAACAACAACCATCATCGAGAGGCCATGTTTGCACGTCTTTGAAATCTCTTTTGATTGTCTCTAAAAACCTTGAATGTAGTAGTGACTGTTAGACTGGTTTTAGCCCAGTCCAAGCCTAATCATAGGAAACAAGGGATTTCACGAAGAATTTGTTTTTTAGTGGGATAAGACCACACCATCTCTATATACAAGAGGTCCACGGCCGATTGCGGTATCCAATCAACTAAAAAACAAATCTAAATTAGATGTAAACACAAGTCAAGATGTCGATAAATCTCCTAATATTCTTAGAAATGTAACCTGTGAAACGGAGGGTTTAGATTTACCTTTTTTGTATGGGATGATCTCATTTCTCAATTTATAAAAAGCGTCATTCCTAAGGGCAGCTCCAAAAATCGATTTTGAAGCTAGTTCTTAGCATTTTTTTTCATATTTTAATAAAAAAGAGAGAAAAACTAGCTCTTAATTAAGAAATAAGCTCTTGCACATATTTCAAGATTATGTTAGAGAGGGTCACGTGGGACTATCCATGTTAAAAACTATGTGTTAAAAGTTAGTACTATAGGAGAAGTTGTCTTAGAGCTACTAACTAGCTCTAAACATTGCAGGCGCCGTTAGGCATGCACGTTAGAAGTATTTTAAAATACTTGTCAATCTACTATATACTCGCTCTGACCGCAAAAGCATGCAAAATTCTACCTTCCTAAGGCATTTTAGCCCTCCTTTATTTCCTGCCAACACACCCAAGGTCTGTGCCTTGTTCCCGCCGCTGCCCACAGTTTCCCCTACGAGGTCCGTCAACACAATGCCGCCACTTCCACTAGCTTCTTTCCTTCATGGATCTGCCGGCATGCGGGTCGCCCGACACGACGCCATCGAGGTGGTGGTGCTGCAAAATATGCTCGACCGTTGCAACACCTCTGTCCCCATTCTCTGCTCCAGTGACGACTACCATTCTGTCCATTGCCTCGACCACCATAGTTGCGTGCCGCTTGGGGTGCTCAGTAGAGGCAAGAGCCCCCACCGCTCTCGTAGTCGCTGCCACTGATCGGAGGTCGTGGCCTAGGCAAAGCTCGCCGGGAGGTTGAGACCGTGGCTGATGCTGAAGTCGCTACCTGCGTGGGCTTGGCGGAGCTAATTGACATGTCCTGGGCAGAGCTCACTAACGCGGGGACCAGGAGAAGCAGTACATGGCGATGGGTGTGAGGCAGTGACCATTTGGGAGAAGGATTTATGGATAGGAATGGTTGTCGGACTAGTCGCAACGGGGGTTTCATGTCACAATTTCTAAAACTCTCGTGTGTTGGAAACAATACAGATTGGTTTCATCGCTATAAAACTCATTTCATCCGTCATATATTTACTAAGTTGATAGCTTATTTAATGCTAATGAAGCTCTCATGAAATCTTTAATGAGAGTAGCATTAGTACAATCTTTTACCGTGAGACCCACCAAAAAATTGTATTCTTTTAGGGTGTGTGTGTTTGTGTGTGAGAGAGAGAGGAGCATTATATTGTTTGGGACTTCAGAGATGGAAGAAGTACTGTGGTTGGTTGACTTGCTGTGGTATATTGCTAAAAACGAGCGAGTGTGCTTTGCCTCCATGCATGGACCACCCCTGCCCATATATGAGGTGCCCGGCCCCATGCCCCCCTGCGTGCATGTGTGCTATCAATGCAGAAATTGTCAGTCTTCTCCATTCCTCAAACAATTTGACCTTATTCTTCTGTCATTCCATCCTGCAATCTTCTAGATCTGACTCTTCTGACAGTGAGCAAACTGTGCGAACACGGATTCCAGAACGATTAACAAAGAGAGAACAAGGGAAATAAAATTCAATGACGGGGACCTGTGTGTTGCCAGAAGATATGTACAAGTATTTTGTAGGGTGAGTGAAAAAAAAATGTCAAAGGAAGTGAGAAGGATGGTAGAAGTAGACATCCACGTCAGAGGCCTGGAAGAGCCAGCCGCCCAAAGCGGGACTCATCTTGCCCAGTCTCTATCCCTCTTTAATTCCACCACTCAGTCCCTTTCCTTCTACTTGGAGCCTGCTAGCTGGAAGGACCATGTATACAAAGGTCCTGTACACTCTGTACAATTTATACACTACCAACACAGCCGCTCCCTGTATATGCCATAGCTGCTTCAGGTCCTACTCTTGTTGGCCATTTCTTCGAGCACCTCCAAGAGACTATCCATATCATTCCTAAATGTTAGGAATAGAAATTTTAGTGAAAAACTACGCTCCAATAGCTTTTCTAATAAATGGTCATCCAAATATAGCTATCTTCTGTTCTAGATTTTTCGCTGGCCAAATATAGAAGACGAGAATGACTCTCTAGAGTGCGCATGAGATATAGAAAAACTGTTGGAGAGTGAAAGGATATAGAAAACGATTTTTATGCAAATGACTCTCCAAATGATGATTTAGAAAGTAAGATTTAGAAAGGCTCTTGAAGATGCTCTAAAAGGTCACTGTGGCATTGGTTTCCAATTAGCTAGCTGGTAATCAAGCGGTTCTCCAGCACCATCAAACCTTGTTGGACATGGGGATGGGCTATCCTCAAATTCTGAAGATTTAATTCAGATTTTTTACAAAGACTTCTAGTGGATTTCACTCATCCATTCCAACATATATAACCCCTTGCCATAGCAAAATAATACTAGCTTTAATTAAAGTTTGGATAAAAAAAACTAGAGAGTGTTAACCTTGTATTGACAATAGAAAAAAGTTACAGAAATTTATTTGACTTGTTTCAGTATTGTGATGGATGCATTATATATGACATCTAATTCTACTCATTTCCATGTTTAGCTTTTGCTTTTCCTGATGCAACGAGATTGCAAATTAATGAAACATTGGCCACATTTTGGCTCGACACCTTGGACTCTAATGCCTGATTCTCGAAGAAACTGAATCTAAGTAAAATTATGAGCCTAAATTTAAGATTTGAATTTTGTATGGATTGATTCACAAAGGTGGACTAATCATAGAAGTACCTCTTAGTGGTTGCTTGTTCGCTGTATGTTGCTCATTTAAGCTCTCTCTGTATAAGCTAGACTTCTCATCTAGAGCTCAAGGTGCTACCGGTTGATCGGTCGTAGAGGATTTCCTTTAGTCCAACCATAGGGTTTCAAGTGCAACCAGTTGATCGGTCGCGCAAGGCATCGATCTTTTTCTTGGTCCAACAAATGAATGAGCTTCATATCCAACTATCCAAGCAAGATGTTCACCTAAGGAAAATGTCAATAGGATTTATAAATCATTAAACAAATAAGACGACGACCCTATCTACAGCAAATACAATGAATGGTTCATGTGTATTTAATTTGCACATTAACATTTGTCATAGCAGCCACATATATAGCAAAATGTGTGCAAGAGTTCCAGTAGCCCTCACCACAGAACACAGAGGTAGAAAGGCGGTAGCTATCGTCCAGTGGGTACTGGCTACTATGGATACTGGATACCAGCAAAAAGGACTGATCAGTAACCAAAAAACTCCACTCCAGTATATATCATGCATCATTTCATTTCATCAGTCGTGCGAGCACCACCCTCTTATCCTCTCCTCCCACTCGCCTCGCGCCCCCAAATTCCACGCCGCCTCCTCGGCCGAGTGCTCCCCTCGGCGTTGCCCTAGCACCCCCGCTGGCTCGCCGTCGCTTCCGGCGCGCGCTATGCAATGAGCAGAGACCTCGAGGACGGGCACGGCGCCGTCGGCAGCGTTATTGCGGCAGGAGGAGAGGCGGCGGAGGTGGCGGTGGGTGGCAGTGGCGGCGAGGCCGGGGACGCGCACGACAACGACGTGGTGATGCCGGGGTTCCGGTTCCACCCCACGGAGGAGGAGCTGATCGAGTTCTACCTCCGGCGCAAGGTCGAGGGAAAACGCTTCAACGTCGAGCTCATCGCCTTCCTCGACCTCTACCGCTTCGACCCATGGGAGCTCCCAGGTAATCATCATCAATTAATAATAACGCATGCATCTGCAAGCTTCGTTCTCTGCTTGAATCGAACTGAATCTCGACCGATCTTGGCTAATTAATTCGTTGTCTGTAATTGCTTGCGCGCGCGGTGCTCGATCTTGATTGCTCGCTCATCGACGGACGACGGCGCAGCAATGGCGGTGATGGGCGGGAAGGAGTGGTTCTTCTACGTGCCGAGGGACCGCAAGTACCGGAACGGAGACCGGCCGAACCGGGTGACGGTGTCGGGGTACTGGAAGGCGACGGGCGCTGACCGGATGATCCGAGGCGAGAACAACCGCCCCATCGGGCTGAAGAAGACGCTCGTGTTCTACTCCGGCAAGGCGCCCAAGGGCGTCCGCAGCAGCTGGATCATGAACGAGTACCGCCTCCCGCCACCGGTCACCGACGCCGACCCTTTGATTCCCAAGGTGAGTAATTAAGGCCAGAATATACTGATGATCCCTAAAGATTAGGGCTTCAGTTCCGGCACCAGCAGTGAGCTTAATTTTAATTTGCGTGCGGAGTTCTTGCTTGCTTCGTCGTCGCTTCCAAATTCCGTAAACACCCCCCCTTTTTTTTTTGGGAAATTGATCGAGGTCCAGGTGTCCAGCTAGCTCGTCGAGGTTTATTTGGTGTGTGTGGTTAATACTAATCATTTGACCTGCTTTTTCGTTCGGTGCTTTTACTTTGGTCGCATGATTTGTATGAATATGCAAGATGCGGATGCCTGTTCCTTTTTGTTTTTAGATCTATACGAGCTAGAGTTCGCTTTTTGGCACACATTTGCGCACCACCGGATATATGTACAAAAGCTACACTCTAGAATTCCCTTCCTAGCTAGATACCTTACCATGTCCTCCAGATTCTGCAAGATCTTTGCAGCCTCAGCCCTCAGCCCGGCCTCAGTCATCAAGCTAAAGTGATCGACTTCCCTTTTATTTGCTAAATCACCCAGATCTGAACTTTAATTTATTATTAGGCACTTGATCGCTCCTACCTAAACCAACCAATTATAATCTTGAAGTTCTCCGTTTCGACGACGACTAGCTAGATGATCTTAAAATTCTCGTATCGTCGTCTCTTCTCTTAATCTCTGATTCTTTGCTATCTATATATGAACTCGTCTCCTTGAATGTTTGGTACTGTACTGATTTCTTCAGTTTCGTGGAGTACATTTCTTTCCCTTTTCCTTCCAAGAAGAAATGCATGGATATTGACTGACCATTTATTTTTTTCTGGCGGTGCATGATAACTGATGATGCAGTCCGAGATCTCACTCTGCCGCGTCTACAATCGCTCTGGCATCGACGACGGCCACGGGCAGTCATCCTCCAGCACCCAAGCTTCCTCAGCGCGGCGGACCTCCTCCCGCACTGGTGTGCCGACGACGACCGTTCGGCACCGATCGTCGCCGTCGTCGACGCCACTGTCACCGACGCAGCAGCTCGGAAGCTTCCATCTGCTCCAAGGAGAATGCTCGTCTGCGTCACCGCCGGCGCCCATAATGGATCATCAAGTGGTCACCGCGCACAGCGCGCCGCCGCAGCTTCTGCCTCACCCAATGCCATGCACGTACGCGTCGGTGACAACGATGTCAACAGCCGAAGCTGCGCCGCAATCAGCACAGGCCGGCGCGGCGACTGCCCTTGCCTCCACGTACTCGCTCTTCAACATGGCCGGCGGCGCCGCGGCTATGGTCGGCAGCTCAAGGTCAGTCGACGAGCTGATCACGCTGGTTGGTCCCACTCCTACCCAGCAGGCCAACGCCAGCCTCTCGGCCGCGACGGGCGGCCAACTCCTCCCATTACTGACGCCGCCGCCACCGCCAATGCTACAAATGATGCCGCATGGTGCGCTGCCGATCGTGGCGCCGCCATCGTCTTCATCAGTCGCTGACAAGCTTAGCTGGGACTGGAACCCGATACCTGACACGACAGACCGGGATTACAATCCTTCTGGTTTTAAGTGAGCCCAAACTCACTGTTAAGTTCTGAAAACCTGCCATCAGTGTAGGCTAACATATATACAACGCATGCATGTCGATTAGATATATGATCAAGAATACTAAATGATCAGGATTATATTCAGAACTGAAGATATAAGTGGTCTGTAAGCATAATGGGATCACTAAAAATCAGTTGCATGCAAGTTTAATTCCTCCTGATTCCATGCGTGCCTTTAATTTAACAACTAGTAGTTATTAGAATTGGTGTATTTTTTCTTAATTTCCCAAAAGGTTTTGGTAGCTTTCATTTTGCAGTTAAACTGCAAGCTAAGACACATGAAATAATGTGAGCATGATTGGACGCATACCGTTGCAGCAGGGTTTGTTTCTTTCTGCATGATTGGGAGGAAGACTTGCAGGGGTGGACAAGGTTAGATAAAAAGCTTTTTGCATGTGCCCACAGGAATTGTGTATTCTTTCAGATCTAGTCTTTGTGCATCCATGGAATGATTCATGTGATTATTGCAACAGCTTTTGTTCTTTGCCTTTGCAACAGTGTTTGGTCATTGCTCTTTATTTACTTGGTGCTAACAGTCACAGAGCATATATTGTGTTTTTTTTTTCCTTTTCTGCTGATGCTTAATTGCTGAAGAGAGAAAAGGGCAAACAAGACAAGCAGCTGAAGCTGCATATTCGGGGGTAAGTTAATTCGGGATGCTAGCTCTTTCTGCTGTACTCTATATATATATTCAGTCTGATTGATGGAAAAGACGATCTATCTGGCAGATGATCAAAAGCCTACTCAATTTGTTTTATCGATCAATTCAACAAGATGGGTCATCCATGTTGGATGCTTCATATTTTGGTGTGTTCGCTGGAGTTTATAATTCTCGTTGCATTTATATACAGAAAGATTTATGATGTACATGTAGACAGTCTACTCAAGGACGTCAGCTCGACAGCTATAAATATTAAAATAGCTGGTTGTAGAAGCCGCGGTGTTCCCAGCTGGTAATTATTGCATCACGTTACCAGGGCAAAAGAGATGAATAATGCAACTCACGGTCACAAATCAGAATCACACAACCTTCTTTTTGTTTCAGACTAGGGTGTTGCAAAAGTTTTTTAAGTGTTTTTTTTATGTAGCCGCACTACTGGCCGGAAACGAGAATTTCTCTGACGGTGCACCGTCAGGTAGAAGGACATATAGATGCCCACTGCTGCACTAGCTAACAAGGCTGCTAGTTGGCAAAATGGGCAGATGAACCAAACACGCATGCCCTTATATAATCAGTGTTAGTGTGAAATTTTTACACTATTAGCTAGCTAGCAGCCTTTGGCCCCGTTCGCTTCGCTGAAAAAACAAGCCGAAACATTGTTCCTGCTGATTTGTTGTGAGAGAAAAACACTGTTCCGGTCTAACAAAACGTTTCTTTACAATGATGGTCCATAAAAACTAATTTCCCCAATGCTCTTTCTTAAAACTAATTAAACATGCTCTTCTGTGTTAGAAAAAAAAATTCAACACCCTTAAACAAAACGATGTTGAGCTTCTTTTTAAGTTGCAGGGAAATGATATATAGGTTGGTATTAACATCTCTAGCAATGTTTATTGACAATAAAACATATATTATTTTTTGTCGAATCATCCAACATGGTAATAGATTCAATTGCCTTCACCACATTAATTGAGCCACCTGGATCACCTCTCCCAGAGTCTCCGAGACATCTACCTATATGCTGTTATGCACTAATTATTTGTGGTAAGAAACAGATACAGTAAAATGCTAAGCTTGAGAAAGCCACGCCATGAATCTTGCACCGCTTATGAATGCATGAGTCATTTTGATCTAACTGGTAGAATTGCTTTCTCACTTTTGCATGCTAAATTTCATGTCCATAATAGCTGGAAACTAGAAGATCGAGCATGCACTCATCAGGTCACAGGCACTACTGGAAATCATATAGACAATAATCACCTAAAGATATTAAAGGCTGAAACATAGGATATACCACTATTTTTGTTAATTTTACCAAAGTTCCCTAGCTTGTTCACTAAATATAGAATCAGTTACTCACCAAATTAGAAAACCGTCAAACAATAGCCCCGTGTCTGTAAACTTTGTCCACATGACACGATCAATTAGCAACTCAAGAACATTGGAAGTTTTTAAAATCATTAAAGTATTTCCAAACAATTTGAAAAAGTAAACATAGAATCATATGCATCGCTTATCACAAAAGCAAGGATATTTAGCTCTAACACTATGTCCAAAGTCAAATTGTAACTTTGACTATCAAATTTTAAAATTTCAAATAGACTGATACAAAACACGATTAATACTATGTAATCCCAAAAAACAATAGTTTCATTGTATATGCATTTATATATATATTAGTCCAATGGTCTTATCAAAGATCGTGTCAATAACCTAATAGATTTATATTTGTGACTAAATTGTCGAAGCACAAAACTTTAAGTAGCTGTACATAATTTGAGAAAACGAGACTACATATATCATATCATTTGGTGGTTTTCATATTCATTTTTTAATTTGTCAATTTTATTTAGGTCTATGCCAGTGGCGCACTGGCACTTTGCAAATCTCTTCATACTAGCTTTAGATTAAAAAAAAACTAGGGCTTTGTTCCAAAAGTAGGTCTTTTGTTTTATTTAAAGTCAAATTTTCTCTAATTTTGACCGAGTTTCTAGGAAATATAGTAACAACTATATGTCAAATTAGTTTTTATCAGATCCACTATATATGAATTATGTATTATTAGTGCATTTATTTGTTATTATAGTTATTAATATATTTTTTATAAACTTGGCCAAAGGCTAGAAAGTTTGACCTATGACAAAACTAAAAAGACCTGAGTTTTAGAATGGAGGGATTCAGATAATTTGTTCTCCTCTGAAGTATATGTACATTAATTAGCTTAGTTAACATACATGATACATATTGTAAGTTAAATGATCATATCCTTTCTGTGCTAAGCAACTTGTCATGCAAAAAGAACCCACGTCTACCTTTTGGGCATCCACACATTATACACCTTCACTAACTGAGAAGAAAAGTTAGCATTGACTCTTACATCATGGCTCATGAGCTATATCAGCAAAGCTAGCTAGCTGGTCCAGCTTCGAGCAAAGCTAGTATGCGTTCCGTTTGGATCGATCATGCATGCTTTTGTGTGATGATGAGCAAGCAGCACCCCAACCTCCAAATTTCCACAATTCTAGTTTCATCTCTAGCCCCACTAAAACCATGATCGCCAACACACATGCACACCACACTGCAAAAGATCGATCATGACCGCCATCAGATGCGTAAGATCAGGAGGTTCAGTTTTTCAATGCATGCACAGACGACACCAATTTAGCAGAATCACACACGGCTGGAGTGTGGAGACACAGATGGAGACACATGGAGGAGACACAGAAGCTGCAGCCCACACACATTACCACAAATAATTGGTCGCCGTCAGTATTGGACTGTCGTCGGCTCAGTCCGATAGACGGAGAGAACCAGCTGGATAGTGGATACTTACAGAGCGCATGAACTCTCTCTGAAAATCTTTTGACATGAATACTGTAGGATGAATAATGGTATCTCTTTTGTTATCTGAAACGACTAAAGCAAATTATTTTAAAGGAATTTCTTGTGTAATCTGAAACGACTAAAACAATTTTTTTGAAAGGAATCTCTTGTGTTATCTTGTTCATGATGTGATGAACAGGCACTACCGGAGACTGTGTAGTTACCGAGTGCCCGACAATTACCGAGTGTCAAAAGTCGGGGCACTCGGAAAACATTACTTACCGAGTGCTAACACTCGGAAAACATAAACACCCGGTAATAGACCGCTTTACCGAGTCAGCACACTCGGTAACTTCAGACACTCGGTAAAACTACAAGTTTACCGAAGGGGCGCACTCGATAAAAACAGCCACTCGGTATTGAGGTGCCACGTCACCTAGTATAGCAACCGTGCGCCAAACGGCGTCACGGCATGACATGTTTACCGAGTGTAGAAGTATTTGCACTCGGTAATAATAAAGTTTTACCGAGTGTAAGTGCACAACACTCGGTAAACACTATCTTTTACCGAGTGTATTGACGCAACACTCGGTAAAATTCAACCAAATTTCTTGTTTTTCCCTTCATTCTTTTTCCTCTATCCACATATGATATTTAGTACTCCATTCCAAAATATGGTGTTTATTTCGATTTATTTACTATATTTCACAAAATTTTCATTCTTTATGAAAATTAGGTACATATCGTGTAAATTTAATTGTAATAATTAAAATCGAACTCGATAAATCACGAGATTGGAAGAATTAACATTGAAGCATACATCTATGTTATAGAAAAATTTTCATAACGTTTGAAAAGTATTTTTACATTCGTCATTTGAACCGGGTACATCTCCCAAAGAGACGCTAAACATTCACAATGACGAGTAGGATTTCTATTAAGAGTGAAATTCAACATTATGATTTGAACTTGGAATTTTTAGATAGTAAATAGATGACATGAAATAGTTCATGTGAAAGTTTGGTGAATTTTAGGATTAAATTGGCATTTTTTCTTTTTGTTTTGCATGAAATAATGGATACTTTTACCGAGTGTGACCTCAAACACTCGGTAAAAGGTTAGCCACGCCCACCTGTTGCTCGCCACAAGGGCTACCATGCTTCTGCTTACCAAGTGCCGTAGATCTGGGCACTTTCGGTAAACATGTACCAGTGCCCACATGTCATTGGGCTGCGGTGCTTCATTTCTGAGTGCCGAGATCCGGCACTCGATAAACATGTACCAGTGCCCACATGTCATTGGGCTGCGGTGTTGAGTTTACCGAGTGCCGTATATCTAGGCACTCGTAAATGTAGCATTCAACACTTAGTCGTTTCTCCCTCAAATCGTGCATGACACACACACACACACACCGCACACGCCAACAAGATCCCGCCGCCACCGCCGCCCCCCCCCCAAGGCCTCCTCATTGTCGCCCGGCGC